GGAAATTTCACCGTACAACGTCCCATCGGGCCAGGGAAAATTCTTTTCCGCCCCGGAACTTCCGTCTGGTTTGAAGAAGGTGTTCAAACAGGTAAATTCCTCAACCATTAACAGTGATGAGAAGTTAAGAGCTTCCCATACTCATATCCTCGAGGCAGTCAAACCCTTGCTACGCCTTTTTGACGCAGTTACAGATGATGAGTGCCCCAATGAAGTTCCTAAAGAACTCGTCCAGGATCATCTTTCGTCGGCCATTATTTTACTCGGCTCTGGCAGTCAAGGGCTCGCCTTGGCGAGACAACATGCATTTGATGACATTGTCGACCGCAAGTTTGATGTCCTCAAGAAGAACCCTCCTTCGTTAGGTGAACTCTTCGGATCATCCTTGATGAAAGACATTGAGGAGACAGAAAAGGTCAACAAATTGGCCTCCAAAGTCACGGGCACAGGCGGAAAATCTCAGCAGTCTAACCCTTCTAAGGATAGACGTTTCACGCCTTATCAACTGGCCTCCAGGTCGTTCAGAGGGCGTCGCCCATCACGGGGTGCCTACAATCGCTTCCCAGGTAGGAATTACCAACAGTTCAAGGATTTCCCAAGATCGCGAAATCCCAAGACGGCCTACGCCACTACAGATAAGTCTAGTTCAAAAAACTAGATGCCCAGCTGTTTATGCCCATCACTGGTGCCTCTCCAGCATTTTCTGTACCCCCTGCTGGTCGTTTGAAATATTTTTCTCACAACTGGTTGAAGTTGACTCATGACCCTTGGGTTCTTCAAGCCGTGGATGGTTACTGTATCAGTTTCACATCTACGCCGGTTCAGTCTTTTGTTCCTGTGACCCGGGCTCAGTCCGAGGAACACGCTTCAATTTTTAACCTCGAGATACAGAAGATGCTCGATAAAGGTGCAGTTTCAGAAGTTCAACCCGTTCAGGGACAATTTATTTCTACTTTGTTCATGGTTCCTAAGTCTTCTGGGGATCTCCGTCCAGTGATTAATTTAAGACCTTTGAATAGGTTTATCTCGTACCATCATTTCAAGATGGAAAACATTTCTTCAGTGAAAGATCTCTTAGTGCAGGGGGATTGGATGTGTAAAATAGACCTGAAGGATGCTTATTTTTCAGTTCCTATTAATTCTGAGCATAGGAAATATCTCCGTTTTTTCTGGAACAAGGTCATTTATGAGTTTACTTGTCTTCCTTTCGGATTGTGTAGTGCGCCCCGTACCTTTACTAAGATACTTAAACCACTTGCCTTCCACCTCAGACAACGTGGTATTCGTTGTATTTTTTACCTGGATGATATCCTTATCCTCGAGTCTTCCTACGAGGGATGTGTGACAAATACTCAAGTGGCAACCAGTCTCCTTCAAGATTTGGGTTTCATTATCAACATAGAGAAATCCATTCTTGTCCCTACTCAGAATTTAACATACCTTGGTTTTCTTATCGACTCTTCATCCATGACTCTCTCTCTGAACCAGGAGAAGATCGTAAAGATAATCAGCCACTGCCAAGAGATTTTGGAGGCGCAAACTGTCACAGTTCGACAACTCTCAAGCCTCATCGGCAGGTTATCGTCCACAATTCTGGCAGTTTTTCAAGCCCAGATCTTCTACCGCAGTCTTCAGGAGGACAAAATCTCCGCCCTCCGCAGGGAGAACAGTTACGAATCAGCTGTCACCCTTTCACAAGCTTCCCTGGAGGAGCTGCGAACATGGGTGCAATGTCTGCATGCATGGAACGGTCGGCATTTTCTTCATCCGACGCCAGATTTGACCCTTCAAACGGACGCTTCTATGTCGGGATGGGGAGCTTGTCTTCACTCCACGATAGGCGGCCGTTGGACAACTCTAGAACAACAACATCATATCAACTACCTCGAACTGTTAGCAGTTTGGTATGCCATCCGATCTCTCCTCGCAGAGAGGCGGGACATCCATGTTCTTCTTCAGATGGACAGTTCAACAGCCATTGCATATATCAACCACCAAGGAGGGACTCACTCGGTTCCAATGTCTCGACTAGCTGTCAAGATCTGGGTATGGTGTCTCAAGAGAAACATCACTCTAGCAGCTCAACATATACCGGGGTCCCAGAACATCACAGCAGACAGGATGTCACGAGTGTTCGACGATCGGGCGGAATGGCAACTCCTCCCAGAAGTCTTCCGCAGCATCATGGATGCCCTACATTTTGTCCCATCGGTAGACCTCTTTGCGTCTCGCCTGAATACACAACTAGAAACGTTCGTTTCATGGCAGCCAGACCCCATGGCTTGGAGGGTCAATGCTCTTCTTCTAAACTGGAAGGATGTAAACGGCTACGCTTTTCCTCCGTTTTCACTTCTTCTGAGAATCCTTCAAAAGATCCGCAGAGAGGAAGCTACAGTTGTTCTTGTCGCTCCAGTATGGAAGACTCAAGCTTGGTACCCCATGCTGCTGGAACTAGCAATAGACGTGCCACTGCTCCTCCCACGGAGAACAGATCTCCTTCAGCTTCCCCACAATTGGTCACAAGTTCATCCACTGATAGGCCACCTCCAACTGGCCGCATGGAAGTTATCAGGGCAAATCTCTCTTCAGAGGGACTTTCACAGACGGTGTCAGCCACAATCCTTGCTTCTTGGAGACCACAGTCCAATGCCCAGTATAACTCAGCATGGAGAAGGTGGGCAAGCTGGTGTTTACAGAGGAAACTTGATCCAGTTCACACCCCTGTAGCTGATTTCTTAGAGTTTCTTCAGCAGTTGTTTGACGAAGGTCTGTCCTACAGAACCATTAATGGCTATCGTTCTGCGATTTCATCAGCTCACTGCTTAATTGATAATTTGCCTATGGGTCAACATCGTTTAGTGAAACGTTTCTTTAAAGGTATTTTTGGACTTCGCCCTCCAAGACCGAAGTACAACAGCACATGGGACGTTGGGAAGGTCCTTAGATTCATCAAGTCTCTCCCCGACAATCGCCGTTTGTCCTTGAGGCAGTTAACCCTCAAGTTAGCCATGCTGCTTGCACTTGTAACTGCCAGTCGCCGAGCTTCCTTGACAGCTATTGATGTCGATAACATGACTCGATCATCTGATGGAAAATACCGTTTTCTCCTTGTCAAGCCATCGAAGTGTGTTTCTGTCAGTAAGCCCTTCCATCAAATTGAGATTTCCAAGTTCCAGCCGGTCAGAAATCTCTGCCCAGTTCGTTCTTTAGAAGAGTATCTTCAGAGAACCCGACATCACAGAGGTACTGGTTCTTCTAGGATGACCCAGCTTTTCCTCTCCCATTCAAAGCCATTCCATCCAGTGGTCCCCTCAACAATTTCTAGATGGTTGAAAGACTTAATGTCTCAGTCTGGCATTGATACATCACAGTTTCAGGCCCACTCAACAAGAAGTGCAAGTACTTCAGCCGCAGCTCGAGCTGGGGTCTCCACAAGTGAAATTTTAAAAACAGCAGACTGGTCATCAGCCTCTACCTTTGCCAATTTCTACCACAGACACCTCCCTCTGTCAGACTTTGGAGGTGCTGTGCTGTCATCGGCAACACAACAGCTTTAAAGTCTACAGGGTGAGTCTCTCCGGAGTTGGCGAAATATAATTCCCCAATTATGTAAAGTACTTACCTGCAATATAATTGGAATTATATGAGACAATGGAGGAGAGACTCAACCTCCCTCCCTTTTTCTTCATTTTCTTACTGCAGATAACCCGCCCGAGTAATTCTGGTTGGTTTCCGATGAGGTTTACCTTACTACCGTTACCTTACTACTAGCTTCAAAAAGACACAGATACCCTGGGAGAACGCAGCTTCACTACCACGCCGGGGAAGGGCCTTTTGTTATGCTAATGAGGTATGTTCTATTAGCTTCTAAGGGTAAATCAGATTGCAATACGAGAAACAATCTACAGGTTGAGTCTCTCCTCCATTGTCTCATATAATTCCAATTATATTGCAGGTAAGTACTTTACATAATTGGGGAATTTTGTTGCTAGTAATAATGTCCGGCTTGCACAAAATACGTACAGAGCCAGCTTGGTTACTGGACCATGGACATTATTCTGTGACATAATCGTTGGATTTGAACAGCGCCCCCATTGACAATAGAGTATGGTACAAGCCCCCCCCCCCCCCCCCCCGCTTTTTGATGTTACGTAGGCTAACTGTCCGGAAAAAAATACGTGTCTACCTTTCAGATTTTTTCCCAATGAAAATCCCTATTCCTGGATCCGCCCCTGACCAGTCCCTACATTCTTAGTCCAAAGGACCATCAGGGAGGGATCGGAAACCAGTTGGGGGTTGATCTTGGACACTATCAGATAATAGGCGGTGTTATCTGTTGTGGTTTTATTTGCCAAATGACACAATATTTTCCCCACAGGGTCAGGACAATTTTGGCGGGAAACAAAATAAATAGTTGGGGGGGGGGTTGGAGGGGATTAATGCCCTACATCTCTTCTATGGATGCTCAGTTTTTAGATCGACTTTTTCCTATACTCATGAGGACCTGCACCTTTCCTTTTTTGTTCCCTTTTGTTTGTATTTTTACTTTTTTCTCCACAGCTCTCATAAGGTTTGTACACGAAATTCTGTGACTCGTGCCCAGGTCCTCGAGCCCGTTGAAATCGCACAAAAGCTATTGTCACAGATCAAGTCTGAATGGATAACCAACCCACACACACTTTTCGATATAACCGAGGCTGAGTGTCCAGACAAAAAAAAAAAGTCTTAATTTCAGCACCGGGACGTAGAACAAACCTGACGGGCCTGACTCCCGTCGTTGAACCGCCCCTGAATATGGAGGTATAGGGTGTGAAGAAAAAATATGCCGTGGGGTAACATTCCTGCTTGAGGACGTTCAAAGCCCTGTTTTCATCAACACATTTCCTGTTTTTGAGGAACAAAATTAAGACCATTGAAGTTTGACCTACTATCTTTACAACAAACAGTTTTTATATTTTCTGCTATTATCTGATCACGAGGCACCACTTCAGATATTTATATCGATAGGCACACTGACCTCAGTACATGCACACTAGCCTATTTATTGTCTGTACACGCCGGTGGTAATTCATAGCCGTGAATTTAGCCACCTTTCGTTTCCATCCTAGCTGGAAGTAAGTTTGTGCTTTTAGGATCAACTGTCGGTACAACTGCTTGCTAAGTTATACTGAGGAAAGATGGCCACGAAATCGGTGCTTATTCTGCTGTTGGTTGCCGCAGCAACGACTTTTGCTCAGAAACAATGCTGCTATCCCAGCCAATTTGAGGCCAGTAGGGGTGAGTACGAATATAAAACTGTGTGCAAAACTTGGAGGTTCAAACAGTACGTCCAAAAAGTGTCCGTCAGACTGTTTTCAAAATAACTAAAAAAATGTTATTTTTGATTTTTGTCTGTGTGCAGATACTCCTGAGTTTCATTTAATTACTAATAGTCACTCGTCAATACACAATTGTCAATTGATCGCAACAACATGGTTGGACACGACCGTGACCTCCTGCTTATGAAATTCTTTCTTGTACTTTAATTGAGTGTTAGAAAGTATTGTTTTGCAGGATTTTAGATCAAGAACAACGTAAGGGCTATATTTGACAAAGTAAGGTAAAGTTCTGTCATCTTGTGTGCTCGGTTGCTTCATGATATTTTGTCAATAGCTGCCGTTTTGATATTTCAGGCAGCATTGTCGCTCAGGTGCAAGGGGGCCAAGCTATGACCCAGAAAACCGGTTACCAGTTCGCTTATGACTACACTAATCGTCGTCTAGGTGCGATAACCTACAAAGAAGACCTGGGAGTGATGACCAAATTCCAGGACATCTTTGAGTACAGCCAGGTAAAGATTGTCCCTATCTCCTGAAACCTTTGACCCAGCAAATTTGCGTTTAGACTTATAAAACCACTGATATCTCGATATAGCGTGATCTGAGGGCACGGGATTGAACGATCGTAAGACTACGGGCTCCGTGCGCCAACAAAGGGGGCGTGTTTTTACCACTTTTGAGAGTCCCTTGGACGGGACACCCCGCGTGTGCGCACTGTACTGGTTTAGTGCGCAAAGTACGCACGACTTATTCATCCTGAATGTGCACGAAGCTAATGCCTAGTATAGAATACGTTCGAATTTAACTTGCAATGGTCTCCCAGACTCATCCCCGTCCCCAATTACTTTGGATCATTCGAAATACGCAGTGGATGGACCAGGAACCAGTCTAGGCCTATCTCTACTCTCCTTTTCTGGCCGTTGGAGTACTTGTCTACATCTACATCTACGCAGGTACTCAGCAAAGTCCACTTCTGGATGTTAACGCTGAGGTGTGCACGGAGCCCATACAGCAGTAGGCAGCAATAACGGTGTTGCCTGCATGTATTCACCGGCGGTGATTCCCTTCAGTCGGGACATTATGGCCGGGGATGGCGATGTGCCCCCCAGTCCCGAAAATCATTATCCAAGTGCAAATATATATTAAACAAAGTCACGGATATCTTGACAGCATTATTCCTACAATGTTAAACACAATGTAAAATATGGTCCAATACCCATTTATTCCTTCATAATTAGCAGTTGGATTTGTTGAAATATAGGTTGAAAATACCTTGCAAAGAGAGACTGACAGTGTCGGTATCCAAATCATGATTTAGGCGACGTCAACAATTTTGTGTTTATTAACTGGCCTGCAACAGAAAAGGCTATATAATATATAAACATTATAGCCTTTCACAAATATTGGTAACATCTGGCATAATGTTGATTTATTTTCTGAGATACTTGTTACATGAGATATTTATATCGCTCGCCTGAACTATACATATCTGGCGGATAACATTATTTTGTTGTCGTTTCCACCTCCAGGGAGTTGAATACGAAATTCAAGTCAAGCCTCAGGTTTCATCTTGCCTTAAACGCACTCTAAACGCAACCCTTCCTCACTGTATCCCCGGTAAGCAGTTGAAAAGTATCATAATTATGTTGTAAATAAAGGAAATGAAGCAAGATCTGTGAGGCGTGATGTCATCCCTCTTCGTTTTGCTGGTCCCAGATGGGCTTGTCAGTAGTCCTCTTTGTAAACTGACTGACTGACTGACTCCCCGACTGACTCCCCGACTGACTCCCCGACTGCCCGACTTCCCGACTGACTGATTGACTGACCCGACTAACTAAATGACAGACTGTTTGACGGGCTGTCTCACCGACTCCCCGACTGACTGCTATCTTCCCGATTGACTGACTGATTACTGACTCTCCCACCGATTGACCGACTGACTAATTGACTGAATGACCGACTCACTCAATCACTGAATTATTTTACCTGCTTCAGTCTCACCTTGGCCCAAAACTTTGAGGTTTAATGGGCTGAGTTTGTTTTGCTCCAATATTTAAAGGCTAATGTTAAGACTAGTCAGGTAAAAAAAAAAACCACATACTGAGTTACAGTTTGTTTTTACTCAAGAAATTCCCGTGGCTAGCAACTCCGTGAACATTGCCGAAATAACCATGATTAATGCGTTTACATAATATTTTGAAAGTTGAATTGCTGTACGTTCCTATATTTATAGTCCTCTGATACTTTCACATAGCATTTTCCGAATGTTTACTTCTTAGCTAGCGCCACCTATCTTGGTTCATCCTACCTCGGCGACCACAAATTAAACGTAGACTACTTCCAGTACTTCGAATCGAAGAGCTCAACCGACTACGCTAACATTACCATAACTGTATCGCAGGGAGACTGTGTTCCATTTTCTGATGTCTACGAGGGAATGAAAGACGGTGGTAGGTATAACTAATGAACGAATGCGTGGTTTCAACGTCAGAGGGCGCTAGCTTAGCAACGAGAAAAAATAACCTATTCTGTCAAAATCTGACTTTTCCAGGCATAAAGTCAAAATGAGATTTTTGCTTATTGTTAAGATATGTACATTTTTGAAACCGGTCATTCCCGGGCAAAGTTAAGCTTTTTGAAGTTCATTGTGTCGAAAAGTAGAAAAAATGAGAAAAAGGGCAGATAGAGTTTGGGGTCTATTTTAAGATCTGTTTCAAGTGACATTTGTTTAAATGATATATCGTCACAAATCATCAAAAAATACTATATTTAGAGTTCAAATTAGGGTTTCAAACTTTTATAGTATATTTTAGGCATGTTCAAGATTACAAATATGCACAAAAATTGGAGAAACAAAAGAAATCACCCCCACAGCGGTTTTTTGGCCCTATCTCAATTTCAACCTCTGCCCGGAAGCGTCTGCTTTTGACAGAACAGGTCAGTGGTCGGTCTCTTTTACCTTACTAGTCAGTGGGATGCCACGCTTCGTGCGGCACCGCTTGCTGGGTGAATCTTACAAATGATCAGTGCGGCCGCAATTAACGTCTTTTTGTAAAAGGGTTTTATTACACACTCAGTTTTGAAATGCATATTCATATTGTGCGAAATTGTTCGACGCTGCACTCAGGGGCAGCGATATGGCGTTGTTGACCTTTGTCCAATCCTTGTATTATTTAAAGGATTATTTTCCTTAACTTTCAGTTCCGACGCTTGAAGTTCGTGGCTACGTAAACTACACCAGCGGCATCAGTGATCCGTCCAAGTACTTCACCGTGCCCAGCTTTTGCCAATCGGTGAGACTGGCTGGCTGTTTTTGCAGTCCCATACACTGTGTATATATATAAAAAAATGCAAACAAAATAAAACGGCATGCCAGACATAGAGTGTGGAACCAACACTTATAATACAATTATGTGTGGTTTGAAACATACGCTTTTTCGCTTTAAAATGAGACATCACACGTCCAAATAGGATAATTTTTGAAAGAGTTATGAGTTATTTTCCATGAGACCAAGTTTTCAACTTTAGGCATTATGACAAAGGTAGCCTATAGTTGCCTCAATGCGGGTATTTGCCCGACCTACCAAAAATGTTTAGCGAGTAAACACAATTATAAACACTTTTTGTGTTATCACCTCATGCTAAAGATATTTAGCATGTAAACATGTTTACAAATTGAAAGTAAGATTGTGTTTATAATTGTGTTAACTCGCTAAACATACTATTGGTAGGTAAGGTAATTATCCACACAGAGGCAATTTAGTAACCTCTGTCCCAATGCCTAAAGTTGAAAACTTGGTCCCATGGTCAATTTGACCACTCTTTGAAAAGTATTCCTAACTCTGTCAACAATTATCAGATTTAAACGGTTGATGTCTCTTTTAGAAGTGGAAAGGCGTATCTTTCAAACCATACCTATATTATCTATGTTGGTTACACATTCATTCTTTTTTTGATACACGCTGTGGTCCAATGGTTACGGTGTTCGACTTGTGTGCTGTGGTGCATGGGTTCGAATCCTGATCGTGGGAACATGGTGCTTTGAGCAAGGCACTTTACCATTATTGCTTCTTCCTTCGGATGGGACGTAGAGCCGTAGATCCCGTGTGTTGTGTAATGCACGTTAAAGAACCCAGTAACACTTATCGCTAAGAGAAGGGGTTTGCCCCGTGTTTCTGGCAGTGGCTGCAATGTGCGCCGCAGCACCTTGTAGACCCATTATAAGGTGCTACATAATGGGTCTCATATTTCTCATAAACTTTATATACCTTTCTTTAATAATTGACATAATTTCCAGCGCCTTGAGTACCTAATTGTTGGTAGATACGTGCACTATATAAGACTCCGTTATTATTATAATGTATATAGACCAATATAGACAGATTCAGTTTGTTTTCATGACTTCAACACTTGGCCAGACATAATTTTAAAGTTGATTAAGAAATATCACACCCTGTCAAGTGTAATAGACATTAGAACACTGTGTATATATATACTTTATGTTTTCTAATTCATTAACAGGCAAAGCACGAGACACCAAAGACGCAGAAATCTCCCTTCGACAAGATACTGCCGTAGACACCGAAGTTACAACTAGAGACATATCGGAAAGCATCTCTTCAAGCTAGCTGTTTTTTCCTGAGTATGTTAACATGGGTTAAAGAGGATTTTGCTCGATGATTTTGCTCATTTATTCTTAAGAACCGAATCAAATCAACATGTCAGACGTTAATTTACAGCATAAAATTTTGTTTGAGTTTTCAATTTTAATGAAGAAGTTCGAACGGCTTCGTCAGAAACTACAAGCAGAACTTGTTGGCAATGAAGGGAATCGAACTTTTCCAGAGGTATAACACATTATTATCGCTTTATAATACAGTAATATCGCTTCACAATACAGTAATGTTTATTATTGAAATTAATTAATTGACGGAAGGACTTAATCATGTATAATAAAGATAAATTTTGTGCCTAATTAATTGCTGATATATGCTTTTCATTAATATCGTTGAATAATCCTAGCAAAAATCAACTAAAAAGGGCTGACATTTAAATGATGCTGAATTGAAACGGGCATTTACTGTATTCATTTTGTTGTTGATAAGCAAATGAATGATTAGATTCCATTATGGCCATCGTAGTTAAATCCTACGGGCAGACGATATTGGTATTTGAATAGAATGTTTTCTCGAACAAAATGAAAATCACATGTTGTTTATAATTCGCTTTATATGTAATTAATAGTAAGACAATCAACAAATAAATAATGAAATAAATCGGCGAAAAATCTAGATGCTGGCGTTGATATGTTTCGGAAGATAGTTAGAAAAAAAATCGGGGAATGGGTGATGATGACAAAATGAAGTATAATTTGCTTTCTTAGTGTAATAGAGCCTGAAAATTGACCCCTGTTGGCGCTTCCAGACTCCTCGAATAGAACAATTAGCGTGTAAAAGTCGGAGTTTTTAAAACTATTTCGGGGTGCATTGATTTCTTAAGAAAAATTACTCTCAGAAAAGGGCCTTTTCACTTGTCTTCGTTTTTATTTGGACATCTCACATAAGTGCTATAGATCATGCAAATAGACTAATTTCAGACTTCTATCTCTGTTGGGGATGGGATTACATTTAATAAAGTGGAAGGGGCCGGGAGGAGGTAAGCATTGATTGGATCACCTCTGCACGTGTGCAGCATGACATTCTATTTTTCAAAAATGATGTTTACGGCTTTGCGCTAGGATAACAATAATAAAATCAATCATAAAAAAACCCAGATGCTTACCTTAACCAGTAGGCAAACTTACTGTACAGTGTCTGCGCGAAGGTATACTTTTCAAACATTGCCACTCTCTCTCTTGATATTTGCCAAAGACACTTTTGAATCCAGCGTCAAAAATCGAAGTTCATAGCCACACAAACTGCACATTAGTGCTAGTCTTGTTGAGTTTTTGTTTTTGCAGTAGGCTTGTTCTGCGCTAACATTGTCGTTGTGATTTTTGTATTCAGGGCCCTGGAATCATACCTAGGTGCATGCATATAATTTGCATACATTAATAACATATCTTTGATATGAATTCCTTATCAGTTGCCCATTATACCGGTACCTACATTTGTAGCCCGAAGGACCATGGAGGGACCAGGAACCAGTCTATCTTGGACACTATCAAGCAAAAGGCGGAGTTATCCACGGCAGTATTATTTGCCGAACGACACGTCACAATTTGGCGAAAATCCCCTATCAAGGAGGGGGGGGGGTGACACCCTGCTCAACGCCCTGTTTGTGTCAACAAATCATCTGTTTTTGAGGAACAGATAAAACCATTCCAATTTTATTTTCTGATAACATACTTTATTGTATTCTTGAATTATCTGAACACGGGACACCACTCCAGACATTGATATCAATGCAGGCGCGGATCCAGAGGGTGAGTTTTGGGGGTCGACCCCCCGGCCCACTACCCAACTGGGACTCACATTTTTGTTGTTCATACAAATACATACAAATAATGTCAATCCTCCCCCCCCCCCCCCCCGATCTGACACCTGAAAAAAATATCCAGGTAATACTATCCGCCTGTGCACGAAATTCGGACAGAGCCATCGGGGTTTACTGGGGTATTTGTACACTATTTGGGAATTATAGTGATAATAATCGTTGGAAACATCGTTCCGTATGACACGACCCCCCCCCCCCCCAACTCTCACACACCACCTATTGATTACAAAGAGGCCAAGTGTCCGGAGAAAAAAACATACCTTCATTTCAGCATTGGTCTGCTGATGACCCCCCCCCCCCCCATCACCACCTGAAAAAATTCCTGGATCCGCCCCTGCAACATACACACTTGACCTTCGTACCCCAGACATTATCTCAGTATTATCACCGACCTATACAGGGTTAAATAAATACTTCGCTTTAAAGTAAATCAAACCTTCGTTTCCAACTTGGCTAGGCTAGAAGTTAGTTGGAGCTTTAAGGATCAACTGTCGTTAAAAGTGCTTGCTGAGTTACTGAGGAAATATGGCCACCAAATCGGTGCTTATTTTACTGATAGTTACCGTAGCAACGACTGTTGCCCGGGAAAAATTCTGTTATCCAAGCCGGTTTGAGGGCAGTTTGGGTGAGCACTAATACAACTGTGCCCAGTAAATCATAAACTATTCGGACAATATTACTAAAAAAACCCCAGATTCTTCATGTGCACTTAATTCATTTCAGTACTAAATGCTTAATCCATAAACTTGTAGATGCACCGTGATGTATTAGTCATAAAAACACGCAAAGCTAAGTAAATGTGATACAATGTATGGGTTAAACAGTCCTCAATTATACGTAAGATTTGATAAGCAAATTTGAGTAATAAACACGTACATCACAAAGATTGTGTATAACTTAAACTCTTTAAGTCTTCAATTGTAAATCCAATTTTCAATCAAATTATTGCTTTGATGTTAGTTGTATGTATTTGACATTAAATTGCTTTTCGTGCGAACATAATATATATTTTTTGTTCGAAGGGGGTAGCATTTACGTCAAACCAACTAACAGAAAAAGAGTTATTTTAACTACGATGAGTTCTGAGTGTTATGGAGATTATATTAAATGGTATTACGCGGCCACCGTATCACTGCTGTAAATCAAGCACTCGGTGAATGCGCGCGGAGTCTTGTCTTTGAAACAGTGAGTAAATGCAAACAGGGCACATGTTCTTTCACTAGTGCTGTCGATAATGAATTTGAAAATTCAACTTGGAACTTCGTTATAATGTGTACCGAGATTATGCTGTGATAAGTGAGGATACCCTGAAGTATGTAGCAACACTACAATTTGATGGTATAACGACAAACGTAGCAGATAGGCCTAATTCCAACCTTTTATTAATTACCGGATCCCCCTTGTATGTGAAGTTGCAATTTCTTATATTATAATAAGTTGAATATACTTAATTGAATTAAGGCAAGCGGGTTGCCTTAAATTAAGTAGTTAGTACTTACTTCAAAACTGAAGAGGCGAGAACGTAAAATTATTACAAGTTGAAATGACGTAGTCGAATTAAGGCAACAATATTGCCTCAATGGAATAGATAAAAAAAAACTTTTGAGTGCTATTTTCATCAACAAATCTCCTGTTTTTGAGGAACAAATAAGACCATTCCAGTTTGACCTACTGTCTTTACAACACATTATTTTATTATTTTCTGTTATTATCTGAGCACGAGGCACCACGTCAGACATTCATATCGATATATCGGCACACTTGACCTTAGTTCAGGCACACCAGCCATTATGAGCCACATGTATAATCTCAGTATTCTCATCGACCCTATACACGCCAGGTTTGAATAAATACATAGCTGTGAATTCATATACATTTTGTTTCCATCGATCCTAGCTGGAAGTAAGTTTGGGCTTTTTGGATCAATTGTCGATACAACTGCTTGCTGATTTACTGAAGAAAGATGGCCACGAAATCGGTGCTGGTTCTGCTGCTGGTTGCCGCAGCAACGACTTTTGCTCAGAAACAATGCTGCTATCCCATCCAATTTGAGGGCAGTTGGGGTAAGTACGGATAATTATCAAATTGTGCGCAGCCTGGGATAATATTATTTACATGTGCTGCAAAACTGGGTTGTTCAAACAGTTCGTCCCAAAAATTGTTCGTCTGACTGTTTTCACAATAACTACAAAACCATGTTGTCAATTTTGAAACTTTTTGGTTGTGCAGATACTCCTGAGCCTTGGGCTCAACCCCAATGAGTTTTATTTAATTTTAGTCATGCGTCACTGCACAATTGCCAATTGATTGCAGCAGCATTTCTGGACACTGTGAGCAGGTTCCATGCCTTAATCAATGTCAGTGCTGCGTGTTTATAAGCTTTGTAAAATCCTGCATGTTGTGAAAAAAGGCTGATGTGGTTTGGGATTGGAATCAGTTGCCCTTGAGCATTAAACTGAGGTCTTGCCATGATGACTGATAGCCAGGCAAATGATTCCAATCCCAACTGCAGCCCTTTCACAACATTAAGGATTTTAAAGAGCTTACTTTAAGTATTTCAGCAATGTGTTAATCACGCATTGCTGAAATTGAATAGGGCGAGTAACTTGGTCACCGTGTCCATAAATGTTCAATTGACTGTGTAGTGATGCGTGACTCAAATTAAATGAAACTCATAGAGGTTGAGGCCAAGGCTTAGGATCGACTATCTGCACAACCACACATTTTCAAATTAACAACATGGCTTTGTTGTTATTTCAAACATAATCAGACGGATTTTATTTTTGGTGGACACGTGTACGTATGGGGCCTGTGTATTTGAGCACTCGACTACGCGGTAGACTAAACATGCATAGATATGAAATGTACTCTCTCACGATGCCTTTTGCAGGGTAAACAGTCCATTCTTCTGAACATACTGTAAATGATACATCTCCCAAGAGGGATTGAAAATTCTTAAGAGAAATTAAGTTTAGAAATAGAGGAATTTCCCGAGGAGTAATTTCATTAATATCAAGATTATTTCGCTGACACAAATGTATTCTTAATGGGCCCACTTAATGGGTTATATACTTGTAGGATTCGTACAGACCTTTTCGGAATCTTCATAAAACGAATTCATTTGTTTGTACTCAAGGTTCATACATTTAGTGTGAAGAGATTCCAGAAACGTTATTCACTAAATCTCTTGTACTGATACCATATTGTGGATAGACCTGGCGGTAACTCATCCCGGATAATTTAAAAGATGACACCTTATGCCAGCCGCACACCCTTCCGATTTTACCGGTTCATCCGGATAAAAATTAACCCCGTCACAGGTACAGTACGTGTTTTCACCGTTGCCGTTATCTCGCAACGTCACCCGCATGCATACATGCTTGATTCCGCTCTTTGATCAGTCACATGATGATCAGATCGGTCAGATGATGATGACCTAATGGCAGCCGTTAATTTGTATCATGTGATGACTTACTTTGTGAATCTGATTGGTGAATTCACAGACACATCGCGTCCGGTGAAATTGGAGTCCTGCCCACACACCTGTTCGCGACGGATCCGGCGAAATCGGTTGTGAAAAAAAAATCAAACATGTTTTACTTCATCCGGCCGCTTGCTGTACGGTCAGATCGGTTCGATTTCTCATAGTCTGGTTCCCACTTCCCAGACCAAACGATTTTGACTATTCCTGATGAATCTTAGGTCTGGTAACCTCCAGTAATACATTGTATTACAATTTACGTCACGTGACTAAAACGGGAGGAATTCCTCCTTTTTCCGGAAATGTCCGAAGTTTGCCGAAGTCGTTTCGTCGACAATAGGATAGCGCCTGAGTATTTCCGAGTATATAATATAGATTTAATCAACTGCTATTTGCTTATTAATTTTATTTTAAATGAGTTGATAATTAATATTCATTGCTTTCATTTAGAAAACTTGAAATTCAACGACGATTTTGTGCATCAAATATACTCGGATCATATGGGCGAACTTTTTGCTGCGTCATGTACAATTTTGAATTTGACGACCGTTGCCGGAGATTTTCCAAAACTCGGTCTTCATTCGGCTCCGCCTGCTTACAATGCTATTTGGGTGCCTAATTTTGAAGATTCCAGATCAACATTAGTCAATGTTATCTTACACAAACATCAAACTGTATTATCATAACTGTATGATATTACAAAGCAAGTGGTTTATTTAAAAATTTGATCAGAACATTGATTGAAAGCTACAAGCGATAAAGCGAACTCGGAAACGAAGCCGAGCTTTGAAAAAGGGCCATCAATGTCGTCATGTTTATTTTTAGCCACGGAGGCTCCCTGACCTACAATTTAGACGTGAGCGTTGGGAATAATTGTCAGGTCTGGGAACCAGACTAGATTTCTCAGCGCACACCTCTCCGATATGGTGAACTGGTATATTAGGAAATGTGTTCGGCGGGCTTGACAAGAACGGATGTCTACACCATTATACAACGCAGTATACATCCTGTTGAACACGAACTAAAGAAAAGAGAGACATTAATAGCCCCATATCAAATCCGCATAGCTTGTATCTTGAAACAACAACTATTCACGACACATTAACAGATAATCAGCTTTTTTAGTTTTCTCAAAAAACAACAACAATGCAGTTTCAATGGGTGTTGGCCTACATCGACCTTTTTTTTTTTTTTTTAAATAAACGTTGTATACCCAGTGTTAATTGTCTCGAGTGATTGTGAAAAAACATCCACTCGGATGGGACTGGAACCCATGACCTCTCGCTTACTGGTAATATCAGCGCGGGTACCACAACTGAACTATTCCTAAGATGGATTGTTTGCGTCTGGGAGATGTAATGCTTTTTTACCCTTCACCGACGTGCTTTATAAACACTGTACATTCAGTTTTGTTTCAATTGATTGTGAAAAGAAAAAAAATCTGAGTGGGAATCGTACCCACGACCTCCTGCTTGCTAGTGCACACGTGATACCTCTCGACCACCCACGACCTCCTGTTTATGAAATTCCATCTTATAAATACTTTTATTGAGTATTGCATTGTTTGGTTTTGCAGTTTTTTTTAAGATCAAGAGCCACGTATAGGTTTGTACATTTTACAAGGTACTTTGACAAAGTAAAGTAAAGTTGCGCGGCTGCTACATGATATATGAAGAAAAGTAACCAGAAATGTAACTTGCGACCGTCGCTTATCTTGAATTTGCAAGAGGAGGAGGAGGAGTGTGCGCAAAACCACTAAACCTTTCCAGACTTTTGCCAGGTCTAGCTACATAAGTTAGTGTTCACAACTGAAGGTGCGTTTTGTCAATGGCTGCCGTTTTGATATTTCAGGCAGCATTATCGCCCAGGTGCAGGCGGGCCAAGCTATGACCCAGACTTACGGCTTCCAGTTCGCTTATGACTACACTAATCGTCGTCTGGGTGCGATAACCTACAAAGAAGACCTGGGAGTGATGACCAAATTCCAGTACATCTTTGAGTACAGCCAGGTAAAGATTGTCCCTATCTCCTGAAACCTTTGACCGAGCCAATTGGCGTTTAGACCTTTAAAACCACTGATTTTTCGACTGATACGGTGTGATATGACAGTCACGGGAATGAACGATTGTAAGACTATATGAACTCCGTGCGTCAACAAAAGAGGGCGCGTTTTTACTACTTTTCAGAGCCCCTTTGACGGGACACCGCGTGTGCGTACTGTACTGGTTAGCGCGCAAGTACGCACGACTTTATTTTATATTTATCCTGAATGTGAACAAAGGTAGGCCATAGATGGTCCCCCAGACTAATCCCCGCCCCCAATAACTTTGGATCATTCGAAAAACACAGTGGATGGACCAGGAACCAGTTTATGTCTCCCTCAACTCTCTTTTTTTTCTGGCCGTTCATCGAGTACTTGTTACGGAGCCCATACAGCAGTAGGCAGCAAGCGTTGCCTGTTTTTACTGGCTGCGATTCCGGGGAGTGGGGGACATTACAGGGGTGACGATGTGTCCCCCTCCCCCGTAAATCATTATCCAAGATTGACCAAAGTCACCGATATCTTCATAATATTATATCTACATTGCAAAAACACAGTTTAAGGATATAGTCTAAACACATTTATTTCATAATAATTGACAGCTTCGTTTTTTTAATATAGGTTTTGGAAAATGTGCATTTGAATTTGCAAAACATAAATTCAATTTGGCGCTGATTTTGAGAACAACGTATATCCGGGTTTCAATTTTGCAATAACTAGCATTCGATTAAATTTGCCTCATTCAAATAAACGAATGCGCATAACGTTTCTATTTAAAGGATTACAAATACGTGATTAGACTTTCGGTTTGACGGATGCATTGCCGATTATAACGAATGTGCAATCCAATTCGCAGAAAATCAATTTGTTATTGTGACACGGGCTGAATTGAATATTCTTTTTCACTTGTCATAATTTAAATTCGCAAAGTCTCAATTCAATTTAAATAAAGCACACAGCCTATACAAATCATGATGCAGCTTTGATTCATTCATTGATTAATCAATGTATTGTAGGCGAAATGGGCAAATGAAATGTTCAAAAGATATAAATCTTACCAAAATAAAATCATTCAAAATAATCTTGTAAGCATATTATTGGGACGGTAAAGGGAAACATCACGTGTCATGTTACATGGGATACGGGGAACTTTTTTGTTGTTTCATTGTCTCAATTGTATTTTAATGTCTTTCTGTACTTTTTTAAGTTCTGTCTCATTTTATCAGTTCTTTTGCTTGGTTATATGATGCGATTGTGGAAAATGCTGAACAAAAAAAGAACGATTGCATTCATTGGTTTCTATATAGGATTTATTACAATGGGTGGTATGTTTTGAAAGACTACACCACTTGGTTTAGCTCATTCATCATGAATATCCAAAGTCAATCATTCACTCAAACAATCCTCATATATTACTTTTTTGAACACATAAATGAATTCAAATGCTTGATCAGGCATATGTTAAATAACACTGCGCCGGAAATCGGCTGCACATTTAGCGAAACAGATTGATGATAAATTAAAAGGAAAACAGGATTGCGGATGTGCCTTCGATTTCGCGCTAAAATGAAATGTCAATATACCAAATTCAGTGCACATTCGGGAAATCATACGCTGATTTTGTACGACTGAATGCACCTTCATGGAAATAGAATCATCATTTGTTAAATAGAAACAGAGATTTGGAACGTTCATTCTATTTCGCAAGAAAACGAAAGCTTCTTTTAGAGATTTTTGTACACATTTTCTGAAATTGTCCGGGAAAACCTATATATAATGAGTTTAATAAAAAATACCTTGCAAAGAGAAAGTGGCAGTGAAAAGGCTTATTAAATTCATAACAAGAAAAGTCTCTTTAAATATTAGTAACATCTGGCATAATCTTTATTTTCCAAGATACTTGTTAAATAAGATATTCATATATTGCTCTCCTGAACTATTCACATCTCGCAGACAAAGATATTTTGTTGTTGTTTCCACCTCCAGGGAGTTGAATACGACATTCAAGTCAAGCCTCAGATTTCATCTTGCGTTAAACGTACTCTAAACGCCACCATTGCACATTGTATCCCCGGTAAGCAGTCAAAGGTATCATCTGTTGCAATCATGACCGATACCAAAGGGAATGAAGCAAGATCTGTGAAGTGTGATATCATCACTCTTCGTTTTGCTGCCAATCGTCCTCTTTGCACCTGACTGACTGCCCGACTGACTGACTGACTCCCCGACTGACTGACTCCCCGTGTGATTGAATAACTGATTGATCGCTGGCTGACTGACTATCTCACTAATTAATTGATTGATTAATTGATTGATCGATTGATTGATTGACCGACTGACTGACTGAATGACTGACTAAATGAATGAATGAATAAATGAGAGACTCTCTCTCTCTCTGATTGACTGACTGACTGACTCAGTCAATCACTGACTGTCCCTTATGGATTAGACTTGATTCAGTCTCACCTTGTTCCAAACGCTTTCCAAACCAATTGGTTTAATTGGTTTAATTTTGGGTGTTTTTTTTGCTCAAATATTTATGTGCTAAAGCTTTAGACTAATAATGTGCAATATACATATACTAATTTTTTTTGGACTTTAGAATGAAAATTGCCGACATAACCATGATTATTTGCGTTTACAAAATTGTCTTGAAAGTTTAATTGTGTACGTGCCTATTTAGTCCTTTTTTTCATTAAGCATTCCCAAATGTTTACTCTTAGCTAGCGCCACCTATCTTGGTTCATCCTACTACGGCGACCACAAGTTGAACGTAGACTTTTTCCAGTACTTCAGATCGATGGGTCCATCCAACTACGCTAACGTCACCGTGACTGTTTCGCAGGGAGACTGCATTCCATTCTCTGTTGTCAATGAGGGAAAGTCTAACGGTGGTAGGTATAATGACCGAGTTCCGTTGTTTCAACGTCAGAGGGGCTCCGGCGCTAGTCTAGCAACGCGAACAGACATATAGTCGGTATCTTTTTATAATTCTATCCACTGGGGCATGCGCAATATAACAAATGAGTCCATACTTCGCGGCATCCAAAATGTCGCATTTCACCAGTTCCTCGTCTCTCCCTCACGGTTTTAGACTTTTTAACAAACAATGCTCTTAAACGGATAAACACAATTGTTTTTAGTAATCTGAATGTTGATTTTTGAATATCATTCAATTTTGCGCGAAGTTGTTGTTTGTACGAATTCACCCGAACATGTGTCCCATCCTTGTATTATTTGGAGAACTATTTTCCTTGACTTTCAGTTCCGACGCTTGAAATTCGTGGCTACGTAAACTACACCAGCGGCATCAGTGATCCATCCAAGTACTTCACCGTGCCCAGCGTTTGCCAATCGGTGAGACTGGCTGTGTTTGCAGTCCCTTATAATGCAGACCAATATAAACACATTCAGTTAGTCTATGTGACTATGCACCTTGCCAGCCATAATTTCAAAGTTGATTAATATATATCATGCTCTGTCTAGTGTGATTAACATTATAGAACATTGTCTGTACTTTATGTTTCCTAATTCATTCACAGTCAAACCACGAGACACCGAAGATGCAGACATCTCCCTTTGACAAGATACTGCCATAGAAACTGAAGTAATTGAAGACATAACGGCAAGCATTTCTTCAAGCTAGCTAGCCCTTTCCTGAGTATGTGAGGATTGGTTAAAGAGCTGTTTACGCAATGATTTTGCTTATTTTATTCTTAAGAACCGATTCAAATCCACACGTCAGACTGTAATTTACAGCATAAAATTTCGTTTGAGTTTTCAATTTTAATGGAGAAGTTCGAACAGCTTTGTCAGCAACTACAAGCAGAACTTGTTGGCAATGAAGGAGGAATTGAACTGGACCAGAGAAATAATACATACTATCACTTTATAATACAGTAATATGTAGTATACAGTAATTATAGTAATATCGCTTCACAAAACAATAATATTTCATTTTTGCAATTAATCTTATTATAGCAATTGGAATTACAATTTCGATGGATGGATTTGATTATGTACAATGAAGATGACTTCTGGGCATAATGAAATGCTGATGTATGCTTTTCATTAACATCGTTGAATAATCGTTACAAATGTAACTAAGTAGAGTTATCAAGTAAAGTTTTATATTGATAAACTGAAACGGGCATTTACTGCATACATTTTGTTGTGGTTGATAAGCAAGCGATTTTGTACATTCCAATCTCGTCGATGACCCATTATGACCATCAATCCTACAGGCAGATAATTTTGGTAATCGAAAGGAAATGTTTTCTCGAGCAAAATGACAATCACATGTTGTTATAGTTACCTTGCTTTATATGTAACTAATAGTACGACAGTCAACAAATGAATAATGTAATAAATAAGAGAACAATCTAAATATTGGCATTGATTTGTTTCGGCAGATAGTTGGAAAAATAATCGGGAAATGGGTGATGATGAAAACAAAAACATTTTGCAAATTTTGGATTTTCTGATCCATTCCCTTTTCGTTTTCTTAGTGGAATAGACCCTGAAAGTTGACCCCTAGTGGCGCGCTTCCGGCCCCTCCAATAGGAAAATGAATTCGCGCGTAAAAGATTATTTTATGAAATGGAGCAAACAATATATTGTTTTTATCATTTATAAACAAATTATAACTCAGTTACTTTGTTTTTGACTCACCCTGTATTGCTGAACGAAACAAATTTTGTTGAGACGAAAGATGGTGGTTAAGTGTGCGTTTATTAAAAGACCATGCAAAATCTTGAAAAATCGACAAGGTGGGGGGTCAGCGAATTAAGTTCAAATCTTGGCCATTTGGTCCCCACCTGAGACGATACCACTCGGTGGAGTAGCTCGATAAATAATCACACGGTGGCCGAGTACAGGGCACCGACAATTTTAAGCAAAAAAGGGTGACTTCCGGGGAGTAAATTTGTGTTGTTTCTGGTATAAAGTTATAGCCTCGTTTATTCCCTTAAACTAAATCGTTTACTGTCGACCTACATATCAAAAGAAAGGATTTAATCTTCTCTAAACGATGAAATATAAATCTTTGATATGCAAGCATTCACTGCGGAGATATAGGCGTAAGAAAAACACGTATCAGCTCTATTACGAAATAAAGTCATTTACGCAGTATAAACCATAACTTAATTAATGCAGGGCAAAGAGGCAACAAACTTGTAAGTAACATAGTTCAGATATCCGACTACAATAATAAAAAATTAAAAAAACTGTCAGCTCTTCTTGTTTTTGTTTGCTCACGGTCAACAAAGTTGAAAAATTCCTAATTTTCAAGACCAAACCTACATAGCCCCCTAGACAGTTCCGAGTGCAATTGGTTGCCCTTAATTGACATTTTGCAGGAATTGTTGTAAGAGCGTAACAAAATCTACATTTTGCAGACTTCACCTATTGGGTGGATGGGTGAGTGGGCTACCTTTGGTGGTGCGCACTGATCCGGTAGGAGGGGAACGTCCTGTTACCGCCCACCCAGTTAGCGCGCGGTATCGAAAGAGGGCGCCCTCGCATTACATCACAGTCAAAATGGCAGCCATGGACATGCTGTCTGTGTGGCTGCAATGTGATTTTAGTAATTTTGAGTATTGCAAAGCCATCGAATGTGGTGTAAGTCACTCTTATCCGCGCGAACTAAATACAGTGCAGCTTAATCGATGCACAAAAAACATACGGAGCCATTTGCAGAAGTGGAAAGTCGCTGCATTTGATGTGAATGTCGAGTGGAAACTGATCCTCCTGCGATGTGGTTTGTTCGACGTCGATGCATACACTGATAAGACAGTATGTCCAGCGCATAGATACAAGTTAGGGTTGAGTTGGACATCATCAAGGAAATGTTGTCATCCACTCCATAAAAGGAAAGGCAAACCATTCAGTGGTGTGAATAAAGCAACTAGCCGTGAGATCATAGATGTTTGATCGATGGGGTACCCTGATCACAGTTGGAACAGGTAAGAAGACAGAAATCAAACAAAAAAAAACATTTCTGAAATGAATCAGTCATGGTCATGGTCCATTTCTGATCAACTGTCTTTGTTCTGGGTAGGTTATATCAATTAAATCCCTTATCATGCAGTTGACTTGGGACCAGTGAAATTTATTATTTTGTGAAAAATTAATACTGGTTGTCACAGCTCTGGACCACACACGTGGTTTTCGGCAGTGGATACACATGGTGGATATTTAGCCGGAGCTGGATTTTGATTTTTTTTTATATATAAAGAAAGTTGGAACTGCACTGAACATGCGCAGTTTGGGGAATAAAACAAATATTTGTTTTGCACTTACATTGTTTTTTTGACTTTTATTCACGAGATGTGACTCATCAGACCATTTACAACTTAAAGAACAATTTCAGATTTGTTTCCCCTTTTATACAAATCCTCCAGAGCCAGCCACATCACAAAAAGAAAAAGTAATAAGTGCAATTAAATACAGTCAATCTAAAATAATAAAGGAAGATTTCTTATTTTTTATTTATTTATTATTATTATTTTTTTTTTTTTTGGGGGGGGGGAAATTTATGACATGGGTTTTGTCCAAGGCATCTATTGCTCAATATTGTTGGCTACATACGCTCCGCTTTATATCTTTTACTTAAAAAAAATATTAAGCCTGCTGCGGCCTTAAAACTTTGTTAATTCTCACTGTTCATATGACTTTCAGGTATCTGTAGAGGTTGTCTATCTAAGCACAAACAAGCAGTTACGCACCAGACAGCGGAACAATTACAATCTAGCGATGTGCTCTCTAAGAAACAAGAAGAGCAGCAGTGTACAATCAGTGATTTCACATCGCTGGCTGGTGTACCATCTCTCCAACCCACCGACTTAGAGTGCACTTCAGTTCATGAGGTAGAGTGAACTAAGAATGGACTTTGACATATTGCCTCTCATTTATCACAGATGAATTGTAAGCACTCTTCTCTGAGTACATAAATTTGTATTTCAACCCTGCTATATGTAGCACGCATCTAACTTTTTTTATTTTCTCATGATTATTTCTAGCATACATCTGACTCCTCATCAACAGATGGATATATTACACAGGATGTAGGTGCACTTGACTCTTCTTTGGCTCCAACCCCCCGACCAAAGAATGTGGAGCTGCAATCCCTGATCACTTTCCTTACTCAGGGTGGAATGTCTGCTGTTGATGGGCAGCTTCGTCTGTCATCAGAAGAAGCATCTGATAGCACTATCCGTTATTATAGAAGGAAGGCAAAGGAAGCCTTTGGTTTAGTTCTTCATTGTTTAGCACCAGGTCAAGAAGATGGGCTCATGAAGATTACCATCGGTGAAACAACTGCTGAATCACCACAAAGTGGTCAAGATTTTGATAGTAGTACCCGTTTTCATTTTTTTTTTATTGCATCCTTTTTTACCAACATGTTTGCAGTAGTGGTTAATTCCATGTTCTCTTCCTTTACGTATTTTGTGTTTAAACAAAGGGTTATCATGGTTTGTTATTGGAAGACAGTGACTGTTCTTGTTTTTTAATATTAATTTAAGAAGGAAAACGATTTTCTTGATTTATATTCAATTGTTTTTTCGAGTTTGATCGTTAGGTTGTTCCATGTGTCATTCTATTTTGATACTGTGTCGGTTCAGTTTTCTTCTTTCAACTTACATTTAAGTTTAAAGTTCAATTTAGTTTTGTACAGTTGACTCTCGTTATAGCAAGATCGGAGAGACCGCCCAAACTACCTCTTTAAACAGAAATGTTGCTTTAAAAGGACAGCGAAACAAAGAGACACAAAGAGAACTAGAGATTTGAGACCTGGGAATTAACTCTTTATTAGCAGAAGTAGGACATCTTTATAAAAGTGCTCTTTATAACAAAAGTCGACTGTAGTACTACCATTTTACTTATTTGGTTGTGTGGATAACAGGTTTAAGGTTTGGGAAAAAGTTAATTTGGATCCTTTTTGATTATTGTTTTTTGGAATGGTTTTCTTCAAATTTTGGTTGGAAAAATAAATCATTCTTTTCTTGTTGTCTTTCCAAAAAATTGTTTGTCATTGTCTCTATTTATTCAAATTCCTCTCTACTTGTTCCTACCCCATCTAGGTCTATCTCATTTTTGACAGCGAGTACCCCAACATTTAGCGTTTTTCTCATTCATTTATTATTTTCCAAGTTTATTAATTTTCCGGGTTACATTAACATGCCAAAAAATAACAGAATTGTCATCCAAGTCTCATCATTCCCACATTTGGTGCACGATATGTGGCAGGGTGTAACCCCCCCCCCACCCCCATTGTGTCTTCATTGTGTTCTGGTAATCTCAGGAACTCTTTAGATGATTATTGGGGGATAATTCTGTTAACAAAAAGACAAGTGTGTGTTGAGTATAGGAACATTTGTGGGGACTCCCTCTGCCACAAATCGGGCAGGGTATACATTCCATCCTAGACTCTGAAAGGTGGCGGCCATATTAATTTAAAGTGAACCCCCCCCCCTAAAAATGGGATAAATTAAGGGATTATAGCACCCCTAATGTCGTCTCCAGTATTAAAATAGATTTTAATATCATGACAAAATATACACGTTTGCCAATTTCCATAACATTCAAGCAAAAAAAGAAAAAAATTATGTGAAAAATACATTTTTTGACCAAAAAGGTGCCCAAAAAACGTCCTCTATTAAAGATTTTTAAAAACATTTTTGACGTCATTATTTACAAATTGGAAAAATAAAACTTGATGGCAAATTTCATGAAAATTGGTTGTCGACTTTTGAAAATACAGAAAGGGGGGGGGGACTGTATGCCCCTCCCCCGTCCCTTTACTAGCGAAAAATAGGGGTAAAACAGGCTCCTGCCATTTCATACTAAAAGCTGCTGACAATGTTTTTATTATTGATACTTAAAGACCATGATAAGAACTCTCTTTCACCTGAGTGTCATTGTTCAAAGACCTGCACTAATGACGCTACGGCGACTTAAAGATCGCTATTTCTATGACTCAACTTTGGGGGTACCCTTAGTGCCGTTGCCTCCTAAGAGCAAATTTTTTTCTAAATTTTGAGTTCCTGGTTTAGGTCAGGATACAACCTCAAGACCCTGCAAATTTCATTTCTCTGCTGCTTTCCCCTGTTGAGCAGCAAGCGTTTAAACTTTTGTACCCCAAAATCATAAAAATCACCATTTTTCACTAATAAAAACACATTTTTGACTCTTTTTTCGGCTACTGAGGTCAGATTGGCCAAATATTTTGTACAACCTCAAGGCTACCTATGACCCACCTACCCCCCAAATTTTAACCAAATCCGCCGACCCCCACCTTGTCACGGTCTGCATGGTCCTCTCCTGCACCTTCCCAGACATTTTCCCTATCAATTGATCAATTGAGAGGTTTGACTTGGCAGAAAACGGTGTATATATTGCCTCTCAATTATTTTCAGCCCTTAGTGGCTTTGAAATTACACCGATACCAGTGATCGATTTAGACTGGTTTCAGCTCTCATAATATTGGGACCGGTAGCTAGTTAACATTTGAATCCATTGATTGGATCACCTCTGCGCATGCGCAGCATGATTTTATTTTTGGAAACGATGTTTACGGCTTTGCACAAGGATTACATCAAAAATCGATTCTTGCCATAACCAGTAAGCAAAATCGTCACAGTGTCTGTGCGAAGGCAATTTCCAAGTGTTTCAACTGGATTCAAATACTGAACAGAAGTGCCCCTCTCTTTATTGATAGTTGCCAAAGACAACTTCGAATTCAGAGGCAAAATCGAAGTTCATCACCAAGCAAACTGCACATTAGTCGTAGCTTTGTTATTGGTTTTGCAATATTTCCTTGTGATTTTGTATAAAGGGGGGTGGAATCAGACCTACGCTAGTATAATTTGCGTACGTTACTGTCCTCCGAATGTATTCTTTAATTCGTCACCGACACCACGAACTGACACCCGGTGGTCAGCGTTGCAGAAATACAAATCGGAGAAAAACGCTTTTAAAGGTTTGACACGAATTTACTCAGTAAAATATTTCATTTATCTTAGAGGTTTTAGTATCACTCAAAGTAAAAATGCTTTCACTACTCAATTATAAATGTTATATTGTAAAAATCTGCTTAGTTAATTAGCAATTAAATGATTAAGATGGGTGTCAGTTCGTGAAAACCAAAATTTACGTGTTTTCGGAAAGTGCGCGCATGCAATATCGTTAGTGAGTGTCAGTTCGTGAAAACCAAAATTGACCAGTTTTGAGAGAGTGCGCGCACACACTGCGCATGCGTGCGCGCACTCTTCCCAAACGCGTCAATTTTGGTTTTCACGAACTGACACTCACTAACGCTATTGCATGCGCGCACTCTCCGAAAACACGTAAATTTTGGTTTTCACGAACTGACACCCTGTGCAGTGTCACTTCGTGGTAACCAAAAATACCAGAATTGACAAATTTCTTGAAAATTCATTAGTAAAATTCGCTTATTTTAGATGATTTAGCAATTTTAACCTCGTCTGTTAAACTTCATGATACAAACTGCTCATATTTGCAAAAAAAGAAAATTTGAATTTTTAATTTTGTTTGTACACAATGTCATGCAGAGGGTGTCAGTTCGTGGAAAATTGTTGTCCACTACAGGTCTATACAGTCGAAGTCCAAAGGACAATGGAGGGACCGGGAACCAGTCTAGGAACGATCTTGACCACTATCGGACAATATAGGCGGTGCTATCATTTGCCGAACGACACGTCACAATAACCGAACTATACCTGGGAGATTGGGTGGGAGTTGACACCCTACATACCTCTAGGGACACTAAGTCTCATATGTAGACATTTTTCGACTGTCAATATTATATACGAGGTGTGAAAAGAAAGTATGTGTGGGAGGGGTTCACATAATTGCTTGAGGTGCCCAACGCCCTCCTTTCATCAGCAAATCTTCTGTTTTCAAGGACCAAATAAGACTTTTGGTTGTAAAACCATTTCAGTTTCAATTTCCATACTATATTATTTTCTGTAATTATCTGAGAACGGGACACCACTGTAGACATTGATATCGATCCAGGTGCGGATCCAGAGGGTGAGTCTTGGGGTCGAATCCCCTCCCCCGTGGGACTCATTTTTGTGTTTTTCATAGAAATACATTACAAATAATGTGAACCCGCCCATTTCCTGCTCTGACACCCCTACAAAAATTGTACTTGTAATACTATCCGTCTGTGCAAAAAAATCGGACACCAGCCAGCGCATTATTCGGGTATTTGTAAACTATTTTGGAATATAGTGTTAGTGATCTTCGGATTTAAAAGTATGGTACGATCCCCCCCCCTCCCCGCCCACCCCACCTATTGATTATACGGAGGCAAAGTCCGGACAAAAAACCTGTCTATATTTCAGCATGATGAGGATCCCCTTGCTGATGACCCCCTTCCTCACACCACCACCTGCAAAAATTCCTGAATCCGCCCCTGCAACACACACACTTGACCTTCGTACACCAGCCAGTGTCAGTATTATCAGCGACCTATATCCACGCCGGGGTTAAATAAATACTTCGCTGTGAATCCATCTATCATCTGGTTAGGCTAGAAGTTAGTTGGAGCTTTTAGGATCAACTGTCATTAAAACTGCTTGCTGAGTTACTGAGGAAAGATGGCCACCAAATCAGTGCTGATTCTGCTGCTGGTTACCGTAGCAACGACTGTTGCTCAGAAAAAATGCTGCTATCCCAGCCAATTTGAGGGCAGTTTGGGTGAGTACGGATACAACTGTGCACTGCTCAGGATAACTGATTTACTACAAAACTGGGCGGTTTAAACTCTACGTTGAACCACTCGATAAATGCAGTTGCCTACCGATATCAAGTGTAGTCTTTCAATCTACCTTGTGCAGTGTACAGAATTTCAATCTTAGAAAGTCCATTGTCCTGCAACATTGACACCCCCAAGCTATATTTATGTTAACCAAATCAGTTTTACGACGGAAGTCACATGTGATTAAAAATTAACGGCCACCATTTTGTCATCGTATGACTCGACATCATGTGAATGATAATAGAACGGAATCGGGCACGTGTACGGGTTAAAGCGGTCTCGAAACGGTGGAAACACGTACCCCAGTGATTCGGCGATCCCGTTATCTGGTGATGAATCGGTAAAATTGGAAAGTTGTGCGGCGGGCGAATTTCTTTTCCGTACGGGCGGCATGCTCCAAAGTCATGAATAATTCAAAAGTTTGATCGGGACAGTATGTTTATGCATGATATCAGGAGCATTGTTGTTATTAATAATCAACCAGTTACCTTTAACGCTTTTAAAGTACGGATGTTGTCGAGCTACCACACAGTAGCCTAGTGGATAAACAAAGATTCCAGGTTGGAATCCACGTCGTCGCTGCTCATTTTCATCAACTGTTTTTCTTCTCTGAATTTATCTGGGGATGATGTTACTTTAAGTGAAAAAAAGAGAACGAGAATCTCATTAGTGTCTTGCAACGATTCAAAGGAAAACTAAATTATGAATGACTTTGGACCTTCCCGCCTATGGAAACAAAATTCGCGTGCGGCGGGCCGCAATTGTTTTTTTTTATGTAAACAAGTATTGTCAATTGCTATAATGCGCATGCGTCAATTGGTAACGGAGTGGATCGCGGATAAGCCTTTTCGGAGTTCCAACTGCGCGCATTCGTAACCTGTGAAAACGCACATTATTTGTCTCAAATGCCCTTTGACAGTACCCACAATGCACAAACAGCCTTTTTGTAAAGTCAGCAGTGTTGGAGCAAAGGCTTTGACCCTTAAGGCCAAGGCCAAGGCCAAGGCTTTAACCCTCAAGGCCAAGGCCAAGGCCAAGGCGTTGACCCTCAAGCCTCGAGGCCAAGGCCAAGGCTTAACCCTCATGGCCAAGGCCAAGGCCAAGGCCCTGTTTTATGAAATGACCACTGATATAGAACTACTTATAGTCACATGAATGACACATCATCACGCAAGGGCGGACCCAGAACACAATTTGGGGGGGGGGGGTAAATAAATTTTGGTCCCCCCCCAAAAAAAAAGTGGATCAAAAAATTACGGCTTGGGCTTCGGGGCCCGCTTAAGGGCCCCGAAAAAATTTTGGATTCGAGATGCTCTGTGGTGCGATTTGAGGCAATTTCTGACCATTTTAATCAATGTTTTTTGAGGAAAAGATGGTGGTGTACTCATTGCCTGCCTTTATTACGACGTCACATAAAAAAAAAACGGGTTTTTTTTGGGGGGGGGGGGCATGGCCCCTTTTGGCCCCCCTGGATCCGCCCTTATCATCACGAATTGCTCGTTACAAAGAACAACATTTCTTTAATTGCAATCAACATGCTCGCATAGGCCTACACCGTTTTATGACTGCACTGTATCTATTAAAGTACATGTATAAGTTCAGGTCTTCAATATGGTTTAACTAAACAAAATAATGATTTACTTCGATATTGACACACAATTCTCCCAAGTGTAACAAAAGGGGGGTCCAAGAAACTGATTTGGGAAATTTGTATTTGCTGGCCCAACATGGTCAGAAATATCAGCATTATCTAAAACAGATACAAATCTTTAGCACTTATTAGGGCGACATACACAATCAATCAGATCTATTCCATAGTTATATGCAATTAAAGTGATCTTCTCATTAGCCCCACAAGTGTACGGAATATTTTTGCAGCAAATCTACAATGGTAACAAAATGTGATGCTACAAAAGTGGAAGTGTGCCAAACACACAAATCTATAGGGTGCTTCCCTCCTCCATGGTAATACGATTAAAATGGTAACAGCAAAATTTCGAACAGATTTATCTGAAAAATGCAAAAATCTATGGGCCTTGAGGAGCCTTGACTCAAAATTGCAAGGCCCTGAACCCTCAAGGCCAAGGCCAAGGCCAAGGCTTTTGCCCTCAAGCCTCGAGGCCAAGGCCAAGGTCCTAAAATCCAGCCTTAAGGCAGCCTTAAGGCCAAGGCCCGGCATCAAGGCACTACATCACTGAAAGTCAGTGGCGCGATGATGTCAAAGGCCATTTGAGACAAATAATGCGCGTTGTCACAGGTTACGAATGCGCAGTTGGAACTCAGAAGAGGCTTATTCTCTACAGCCACGAATGAGAAGAAAAGGCTGCATTTCATTATATCGATCATCAGGAGTTGATAAAACATCATTAAGATTAGGGAACACAATTCACTTGAACCGAGAACCTCCAGCAGTCAGATTAGCGATTTAATGCACACGGCACAGCGACACTACACACTGACCGTCGTGGAATATAAGCTATAAGAACTTATTCCGAATCAGGTGGCATAGTTAGTTGCTCACGTGATATGTTTCACACATGCGCATTATGGTCATTGACTAAACTTTGTTGCAAGAACAAAATAAGTGCCGGCGGGCAGCGTATTTTTTTCCTAGGAGGGTTAGGGGCAATGTCATGAATAATTCAGTTTTTCCTTTGAATCATTGCAAGACTTATAGTACAGCTCATAAGCAATTTTTTTGTGCACTTTGTGGTAAAAGCATGAAATTTTCTACACAGACTCTACATACCATGATGTTTTTTTTCAGATGTGGAGCCATCTTGGATTTGACCTCCGATGACCTTTAGAGGTCAATGACCTCAGAAAATGAGAATTTGCTACTTTTGGCATCATATATGACGATAAAATCATCATGAATCTCCAAATTACACTGTACACAGACTGTACATACCATAAACTTTATTTTAAGATGTAGAGCCATCTTGGATTTGACCTCTGATGACCTTTAGAGGTCAATGACCTCAGAAAACGAGAATTTGCTACTTTTGGCATCATATATGACAATAAAATCATCATATATCTCCTAATTACACTGTACACAAAATGTACATACCATAAACTTTATTTTAAGATGTAGAGCCATCTTGGAATTGACCTCTGATGACCTTTAGAGGTCAATGACCTCAGAAAACGAGAATTTGCTACTTTTGGCATATATGACAGTAAAATCATCATAAATCTCCAAATTAGACTGTATTCTGTATTTCTGTGCCCCGCAATCTAGACTACATTATTTTGAAAGGGAATATCTGACACAAATTGACCATTCGATAAAGGCCGCGGTGTATGTGTTCTAAACAGACAAGACTATATACATGAGGGGCTACGACAATTATCAGGCCCACATTATGAAGAGATTGATAGGGATCTGACTGGGGAAACCGCGCAACAGGTCGCTCAAGCCATACGCAGACTTCACATTGATGGAGTAATATCCAAAAAAAACATTTGAGTTTCTCAACCATGACAACCACGACATCAAAACTCCTTGCCTCTACCTCTTACCGAAAGTTCACAAAGAAGCACCCAAAGAAACGCGGTTTGTGGGGAGGCCTATTATTAGTGGTTGCGGAGGTCCGACTCAATCCATTTCAAAATACATAGACTATTCTCTGCTTCCGATTGTCAAACAACAAAGCACATATACACGCGATTCCGGGCATGTGCTTGAAAAACTAAACAACGTGACATTGAAGCAGGATAGCATATTGATCACATTGGATATTGTGTCCATGTATACGAATTGCCCACAAGATGAGGCAATTGAATCAGTCTGTGATGCACTTGAAGTTGCCGATAACAGTCTGTACGCAATACCCAAACCTACAAGAGAACACGCTCGCTGTCTCCTGGAACTTATCATGCATCAAAACATATTTGAATTCAATGGAAAGTTCTTCAGACAGAAAATTGGCGTGGCTATGGGAAGCGAATGCAGTCCAGAAATATGCGATATAACCCTGTTCAAATATGAAAAAGAAATTATTCTCCCACACAATCCTTCAATTGCGAGTTACATGAGATACAGGGACAACGTCTTAATAATATTTAACGGTAACGAAGACCAAGCCGGTGACCTCGTCCAAACTCTAAACCAAATTCATCCCACGCTCAAGTTCACGTCAGAGATTTCAAACAGTCAAGTCAGCTTCCTCGACCTCGTCATCTACAAAGGCGAACGGTTCAAAAAAGAAGGGAAACTGGATACTCGAGTAGCAACCAAAAAAACTGATACCTTTCAGTATCTTGCTCGAGATTCAGCCCACCCTAAGTCAGTGTTTGGCGGTTTGATTAAGGGAGAATTAATGAGATATGACCGTATATGCACACGCTCAAAAGAATTTGAGGAGAAGGTTGAATTCTTCAAAGACAATCTACAAAAACGCGGATACAACCAAAAAGATTTAGCCCTTCTTCCCCAAAAAGGCGAAACTCGCGTGAACTCTAAAAAGCGTGCAAAAACCGAAAAGAATATCCCGCTGGTCTTTGTTTTACCCTACAACCCACAAATTAAACACCCAGCTCTTAAGCAGGCCCTTCTGAAACACTGGAATCTGATCAGCGATAATGATTTTCTCAGTGCACTTTTCGCGACCCAACCCATCCTGGCATACAAACGACAAAAAAACATAAAAGATGGCCTGGTCCGATCAAGGATTAACCCATCTCCACCATCCAACCAAGAAAAAAACTTGGATGAGGAGAACGTTCAAATCCTTTTGGAACTTCTTGAAGAACAGAACTAACAGAATGGTCATTTAGGCATGGATTTCGAAATAAAAATAAAAAATAAGGAATCCACTTAGTCTGATCATAACAAGAAATGCTAACGCGTAAAATATTCTTTACCATCATTAGCCATAAAGAAAATACGTACAAAAGAATTAAACAAAGGGTGACTGATGAAGTGCGTAAAAAGGGCACAGAAAATATGCACTGTTTCCCCCGACACACAAAAAAGAAAAACAGGTGGGACGGCATATTATCACCGGTATAAATCAAAACATTAAGTTAACTAGAAACAAAAACCACATGTACACAAACCAGTCCCTGCGTCGCTAAACACCGGATGAGTTTTTTGAAACTCCCGCTCTCCGGTTATCACCAATCTAATGGGCCCGCTGGCAAGGTATGTGTTGACAAGCTATAACCCACCCATCACCGCAACCCAGCAGTGGAACTGATTTTACTCCCTATATGCGTATTGAATTTCCAAAAAAGGAAAACAAACCTTAACAAATACGCTCTAGGCAGTTTAGTCATATAACTACACAGGTATCCATACCAGTGCTTGCAAGTCTTAAATAAACGGAAATCTTCCCTAGCTGGTTGCAAACACAATGTTTTCAAAAAAAAGATTCATCAGCTCGTCCCCATCCCCCTCCCATGTTTTAAACCCTAATTCACGGCGGCAACTTTCTTGGAATGACCTTGGAACTTTCCAACAAGTTATTAGTATCAACAGATTATTCCCTGAATTTTGCTTGCACAAAACCGGTTCTTCCTTGCTATTTTCCTAGCCAGAAAACCACTTCTTTTTAAGAAAACACAATTCTGATAAAAACTTAAATGCATGGTGGCGGCCAAACTCCATTCCATTTAACTTAAAATGTAGTGGCGACATGTATGATTACGCGCCTTCCTACTAAACACATTGATTTATGATGATGTATCTGTGACAAATGACGCAAAAGTAGCAAATTCTCGTTTTCTGAGGTCATTGACCTCTAAAGGTCATCAGAGGTCAAATCCGAGATGGCTCCACATCTTAAAATAAAGTTTATGGTATGTACAGTCTGTGTACAGTGTAATTAGGAGATATATGATGATTTTATTGTCATATATGATGCCAAAAGTAGCAAATTCTCGTTTTCTGAGGTCATTGACCTCTAAAGGTCATCAGAGGTCAAATCCGAGATGGCTCTACATCTTAAAATAAAGTTTATGGTATGTACAGTCTGTGTACAGTGTAATTAGGAGATATATGATGATTTTATTGTCATATATGATGCCAAAAGTAGCAAATTCTCGTTTTCTGAGGTCATTGACCTCTAAAGGTCATCAGAGGTCAAATCCGAGATGGCTCCACATCTTAAAATAAAGTTTATGGTATGTACAGTCTGTGTACAGTGTAATTAGGAGATATATGATGATTTTATTGTCATATATGATGCCAAAAGTAGCAAATTCTCGTTTTCTGAGGTCATTGACCTCTAAAGGTCATCATGGGTCAAATCCAAGATGGCTTCACATCTTAAAAAAAAGTTTATGGTATGTACAGTCTGTGTAAAAAATTTCATGCTTTTACCACAAAGTGCACAATACATCTCAAATAATGAGGTTATGAGCTGTACTATTAGGTTCTCGTTCTATTTTCCCCCTTAATTTAATATTATCTCAGTGATAAATTTGGAGAAGAAAAATAGCTGATGAAAATGAGCAGCGACGACGTGGATTCGAACCATGGATCTTTGTATCCATAGTTCATCTCGCTATCCACTAGGCTACTGTGTGGTAGCTCGACGACAACCGTTCTTTAAAATGCTTTAATGTATTGTAACTAGTTGAGTAACTAACAACAATGCTGTTGATGTCATTGTCCGTTCTCATGGATAAACATGAATTATTCATGTCATTGCCCCTAACCCTCATAGGAATAAAAATTACGCCGGCGGGCACCGGCTCGTCCAGCGAGTTTTACGGGGTCGGCTGGCTGATTCGAATCTGATATAGAAGCGGATATATTGTGTTGCTAAACTCTACCGGGATCGACGAGGACAAAACTCAAAGAAATATAAATACGGAGACCAATTCTGGGTCAAAATAATTTATTACTGGCAACTCAACTGAACATAAGATTACATCGTGAAGCGAACAGCAAATGTTGGGCGTTGTCGACGGCGCCTCCAGACCAACTGCGCCGAGCACAGTACAGCAGCTGACTTATAAAGACAGCCTTGCATAACATGAACAAATGCATTACTTAAATTCCAATCGGCCCTGCAGCCGCAGACTACATTCAAAGGAAACACAAGAATGCTTCACAATAGATATATGCAACCAAACTATATTCATTAGATGGAATTTGCGTCGGGCGGGGTGGATGGTGTAGCTAAGTTCAATATGTGGTTTTACTCTTCACCGACTTAGTTTTAAACACTGTTTACTCAGTGTTGCCGCAAGTGATTGTGAGAAAAAAGGGTGGGACTCGAACCCACGACCTCCTGCTCTAGCGCAGATGTCTTACCCTCGACCACCCAGGACCCCATGGTTATATAAGATTCCATCTTCTGAATAATTGTTTACCGTTTTGCAATGTTTTGATGAAACCAGAAATGGCGTCAGTCGCTTAAATCCTGAATTTTCAAGGGGTTTTTATATTTTAGGCAGCATCACCGCCCAGGTGCAAGCGGGGCAAGGTACGACCCAGACTGATGGCCTTCAGTACGCTTACGACTTCACTAATGGTCGAGTGGGTGCGATCACCTCCAAAGACGACATGGGAGTAATGACCAAATACCAGTACATCTATGACTTCAGCAAGGTAAGGGCTGTGCATAATCAGCTGACACCTATGTCCGAGCCAATTGGCATTAATAGACGTATAAAATCACTTGTTCCTCGACTGATAGAACGTGATATGAGGTCCACGAGGTTCAATGATTGTAAGATTTCATCCGCAGACAGCAGGTGTTACCTGTGCTCTCTGGCGGCGATTTGGGAGGGGGGTGTAGGGGTGGTGATGGTGTCCCATCCCCCGAAAATCATTATCTAAGTGCAAATAAATATTAACCGAGGTTCCAGATATCTTCACAACATTATTCCTGAGATGTAAAAACACTCAGATATTGCTCGTCCAAAACCCCCACTTATTTCATAATAATGTGGCGGTTGCTTTATTTAATAAAGATTGAACATTAAGATCCTGAAATTTACTGTTAGTAGCCCATATATGATATGGTCGGCGTTCACATTTTTGGTTTTAATACTGACCAGCAACTAAAAGACTAATTGAATTCATTAAAGAATAGTCTTTTAAAACTATTGGTAATATCTGGCTTAATCATAATATTTTGTTTCCGAGATACTTGTTATAAAAGATATTCATAGTGCGCGCCCGAACTATTCATGTCTGGCTGATAAAACAATATTTTATTGTCCATCTACCTCCAGAAACGTCAATACAACATTCAAGTCAGCCCTGATATTTCAGTTTGCATTAGTGGTCCTCTGAACGGAACCGTTCCACACTGTGTCCCCGGTAAGCTGACAGAATGATTGCCTGACTGACTGATTGACTGAATGGCTTAGTCATTGACTGACTCCCCGACTGACTCCCCCGACTAAATGACCGAGTAATTGACTAACTGACTGACTGACACCCCGACTGACTAAGTGACTGACTTTCTCCCCGACTGACTGACTGACTTCTCCACTAACTGACTCACTGACTGACTCTCCGACTGAGTATGCCAGTACATGGGCGTCGCGAGGGGGGGGGGGGCAAGGGGGGGCACTTGCCCCCCCCCCCTGGAAAAGCAAAAAAAAAAAAAAAAAAAAAAAAAGGAAGGAAACAAAAAAGAATAAAAAAAGAAAAAGAGGCGCGAAGACAAAGTGGTGAAAATTTAATGGGGGGGGGGCAAAATGTCCCTGCCCCCCTCTAAAACTGATAAATCGAGAATGTGTTGAGAAATGCAAGCATTTTTTGGCAAAAACATTTTTTGCCCCCCTCTAGAAAAAATCCTGGCGACGCCCATGTGCCAGTACCGGCTCTTTGCCTGACTCACTTACCATAACTTATGAATTTTACCTCTATAGATGCACCTTGGCCCAAAATTTTAAATAGGTTTAACCCGCAACGCCAAATGGGCCAAGGGCGGATGCAGAACACAATTTTTGGGTGGGGGCCCCCAAAAAACCTGGTCTTCCAAAAGTTGGTAAAGAAAGTTACGGCGTGGGGTTCGGGGCCCGCTTGGGCCCCGAAAATGTTATGGATTCCAAATGATCTGTGGTGCAATCTGAGGCAATTTCTGACCACTTTGACCAGTTTTGTGTAGGTAAAGATGGTGGTGTACCGACGCAGTGCCTGCCTTTATAGCGTCATACAAAAATACAAATTGCGTTCGTTTTTTTTTGGGGGGGGGGGGGGAGGGAGGGGGGAGGGGGCAAGGCTTCCGTTCACCACCCCCGATCCACCTCTGGAATGGGCTGAAGTTATTTCGCTCAAATAATGATTGAGTGCTAAGATTAGTCCCAAGCAATGTTTACATTCACTCAGTTACGTTTTTGATTGTGTAAAATTACCAACATATTAAACAGTCACTGCGTCCTGGATCGAACAACCCAATTGGGCTACAATTACAAAACGCGCTTTGAACGAAATTATGTTGATCGGAAAGAACATTTCCAAGTATAACAATCCACACAACTATCCTTAAAAACTGGACGTTTTTGTGTTATTCCTGTTTCATGAGTGCGAGAACGATTTTCGGGGTCCACTTTTGCGACCCCCAAAAGTCGAGCTGTTTGGGTGCTAGTTGTGATTTCATTCGTACAGTGTTGCGGACGTGTAAGAACCACATTTTGTGCATTGGTGATCGGTCACTGCTGTTCGCGAGCACGGTGCCGTTGTGCAGACACATGACGTAACGTGTATCGTACATTGACAACGACGGGAAAGACGTATTCGTACTCCGTCGTGTCCGATGTAAACAATCGGGTTTTTGTTCGTCTTTTCTCGGAAACGGTAAGACATTAGGATGGTTTCCTTTCAACTAGAAGTTTGAAATTCGCTAAGTAAACAATCCAAAGCATGAACACTTTTGGGGAGTCAGGACCTAGTGCCATTTTAAACATGATTATTGCCTGTACAAATCTTGAAGGTTGAATTGCTGAACGTTTCTATTTAGTTCTCTGATATTTTTATTTAGCATTTTTTCAAATGTTTACTTCTTAGCTAGCGCCACCTATCTGGGTTCATCCTACTACGGCGATCACAAGTTAACCGTAGACTTCTTCCAGTACTTCGAATCGATGGGTCCATCCAACTACGCTAACGTCACGATGACTGTATCGCAGGGAGACTGTGTTCCATTCTCTGTTGTCACCGAGGGAATGAACAACGCTGGTAGGTTTAAGTAATAAACGGTTTTGTGGTTTCAACGTCAGAGGGCGCTACTTAGCACCGAGATCAGATATGGCGGTGTCACGCACAAGTCGGACTCCTGTGTAAGCTTATTTCTTTTACCTTATATAGACTACAACCCTCATACTTGGCCTTAGTATTACTGTTCGAATTCTGTCTACTGAGGTGTAGCGCACAATACGACCAATGAGTCCGAATTTCACGGCCGTCAAAATTTCTCATTTCACCGGTATCTGGTCCCTACATTATCGTTTGAAACTTTTTAACCCCCAGTGTACACGTTTGCATGCTTCAAAATGGATAGGAATGTTTTTTTTAAACCAACCGTTAATTAAAATTATCTTAAAGTGGGTGTATAAATTTTGCAATAGACCCCTTGGGGACAAAGATATGACGATGTTGACGTTTGGCCAATCCTTGTATTATTTTGAGGATTATTTGGCTTGACTTTCAGTTCCAACTCTTGGCATTCATGGCTACGTAAACTACACCAGCGGCATCAGCGATCCGTCCAAGTACTTCGCCGTGCCCAGTTTTTGCGCCCAGCAGGTAAGACTTGCTGTGTCTGCAGAACAACACAGTGTGTATCAAACAAAATCAGACAAAATATAACCGAATGCAAGACGTACAATGTGTGTAACCAACATAGGTAATATAGGTATGCTTTGAAAGAAATGCCTTTCCATTTTAAAAAGAGACATCAAACGTCAAAAATCTGATAACTTTTGATCGAGTTATGAGTACTTATCCTTGAAAGGTCAAATTGACCATGGAGCCAAGTTCTCAATTTTAGGCATTAGGACAAAGGTAGCCTAATTGTGTTTGTGAGGATAATTGCCTTGCCTACAAAAAAAATTCTTTCGAGAGTTAACACAATTCTAAACATTTTCTTGCTATCACCTCATGCTGAAAATGTTTAGCATGTAAACATGTTTCAAACTGATAGCAAGAATTCTGGTTACTGTTTTTGTTTGTTATATTTTGTTTGCATTATTTTTGATACACACTGTATAAAGCAAACCAGTATAAATACATTCAGTTTGCTTCACTTAATAAGATCTTATTCTTACAATCCGTGAACGAGGGCGCTCTTTCGTGCCATTGGGAAAAGGACGCAGGAATTTTTCGCTATAACAATCTGGTATTTATTGTTTAAATCATTTAGATTACTAACAAAGGAATACATTGAATGCAGTAAATGTGCACTGGTCTAACTTGGCCATACATTATGTTTGTCGACTCTGGTGAGATAAACATTAGAACATTAGTTGTGTTTCCAAGTTGTTGTGTATACACTATATTTTCTAATTCATTCACAGTCAAACCACAAGACTCCAAAGATGCCGAAACTTCTCTTCGACAAGATTCTGCCATAGAAACCGAAGCTACTGGAGACATACTGGAAGGCACATCTGCAAGCTAGCTAGCTTAGTTGGAGAGGCTTTTTGCGCAATGATTTTGCTCATTACCTTTTTAAAGACAATTGAAATCAATACGCCATGCATTAATTTAAAGCATATCAAATTTAATGAGTTTTAAATTTCAATGGAGAAATTTCGAAAAGCTTAGTCAGGAACTTATACAAGCAGAATTGTATCCAAGTATATAGGAATTGAACTCGACCAAAGTAATATCTAATATAGCCTCAAGATACCGTATAAATACCGTTGAATAATCATTGCAAAAGCAAGCTATACAGCTAAAGGTTTATTTCGATGAATTGGAGCGGAGATTTACTGTATACATTTTGTTTTTCGTTAATAAGCAAATGAGTGTGTAGTTTTTAACCCCGTTGTTGGCAGATCATGACTATACTAGTTAAAAACTACAGCGCAGATATTTTTCTGTTATTTGAATGGAAATGTTTCCTCGGAAAAAATGGCAATGACATGCGGTTGTTTATAATTCCCCATAGTAGTAGAACAATAAATACTGTAATAAACATGCAAATTAAATCTAAATGAAGGCTTTGATTTGCTTTGTCATAAAGTGGGGTAAATATTCGGAAAATGGGTGATAATGAAACAAATCATTTTGCAGATGTTGAAATAAAGTACTGGACGTATTTGTAGTCCCTTTCCTTTTCTTTTCTTATTGGAATTGTTACAGTTTTTTTTATTTCCTTAGACAAAGTTTGGCTGTTTTTATGAGATAAGCAGACTTGTTAGATTTCGCTCATGCACGCCAATCTATCCAGTCGAAATGTCATAAAAAAAAAAAATCAAACAGTCACTCGCCCCAGCCCCCTCCCTTACTTTTGTTTATGTTGTAAATCGAGGATTTTCCACTGTTCCTCTTCCCTTCATCTGTGTTTATACTCGACCTCGATTTGGTTCCTGTCCTCAATTCATCGATGATGTTGCACCTGTGTGTCCTCGATTTACACTACAAACACACACACACACTTTTTATTTTACCAAGGCTAAGTGTCCGGAAAAAAGTCTAAATTTCAGCACTGGGACGTAAAACAAATCTTACGGGCCTGACTCACCCCTCCCCTGCAAAATCCTAGATCCGCCCATGAATATATAGGGTATGAAGGCACAATCTGTCGTGGAGGTCACATGACTGCTTGCGGAAGTTCCAAGCCCTGTTTTCATCAACAAATCTTCTGTTTTGGGGAGCAAAGGAGACTATCGCATGTAAAAAAAAACATTCAAGTGCGACCTACTTTCTTTACAAAAAATGTTTTGTTATTTTCTGTTATTATCTGAGCGCGAGACAATGACGTCACCACTGCACTTTAAAGGTTGATATCGGTAGGCACACTGGACTTTAGTACATTGACAATAGCCATAAATATGATCTCGGGATTCTCATATACACACCGGAATTAAACAAATGCACAGCTGTGAATTTACCTACCCGTCGTTTCCATTCTAGCTAGAAGTAAGTTTGAGCTTTTAGGATCAACTGTCGGAATAGGCCTAATACTGAGGAAAGATGGTGACAAAATCAGTGCTGATTCTGCTGCTGGTTGCCGCAGCAACAACCTTTGCTCAGAAACAATGCTGCTATCCCAACCAGTTTGAGGCCAGTTTAGGTGAGTATAGACACATCTGTGCGCAACTCAGGATAATATATTTACTACAAAACTGAGAGGTTCAATGATTTATAACATCAACTCAAACGCTATTTAGCTAGTTATTATTTGTTTGAAAAAGGGTAAACAAATCAAGGGACTGATACAGGGAATGGCAAATATAAATGACTAAAGTACCATTTTCATCGTTATGGTCAGTAGATGGCAAGTTAGATGCAAGTCGAGGATGTTTTATCAGTCTAGTTCAATATGAAGAAATATTTGAAGTGCGTGAACCATGAATAGCTTCTTTATTAAACGAGCATACACTGGAAAATGAAAGCCGTCCCCGTCCGTAGATTGGTGATGTGTGAGGGATGAAACTAGCTGTTAATGAAGGCTGAGTACAGAATGCTAGCAACATCAATGAAACTTTTTTTAAAATCGGAGAAAAATATTAACATGTCCACTTCTGAAAGATCGAATGAAAAAAAATGCCTTTAACTCCTGGCAAGCATCAATAACTTTGCTACCATTGTCAGGTCCGAAGTCCATTGCTTTTAGGTCCATCGTCAATCATAATGTTACTCCGTTGGCACCACAATGTATTGCACAAGTTACCAATGTCAGGGATATGTCATGTTCAGGTTGAGGTTTTCCTGCGTATTCTGCGTTTTCATCACACTTGGGTACTATAATAGTACCGAAGTGAGCCGTCAATCTGAAGCAGAAAATGTAGTGCAAACGAATGGATCTACTTGCGCGTGTTGGTTCACGCGGCGAATGAGGCACCAATGTCTTTGATACACATTGAGCGCGATGAATTCAGTTCGGTTCTCTACACTGTGAATAAACTTGGCGGTACCTAATCCTGATTGATTGAAAAAATGACGCCTTACGGATGTATGGTGTAGAACGGATGTCTACACATTATCCTGTTGAACAAAAAGTGAAAAAAAGCCATTCAATATGTCTCCCCAATTTTGAGAAAAATCAGCGTATAAAAAAACGTGGACTTTTTTTGGCCACCCTGTACAACCAGTGTTGATTGTCCTGAGTGATTGTTAGGAATAAAATCCACTTGGTTTGGACTAGAACCCGAGACCTCGCGCTTTGTGGAGACGTATTTCCACTGTACCACTCACGACCTTCTGCTTACGACATGCCCTCCTGCTTACGAAATTCCAACTTATAAATACTTTTATACAGTGTTGCAACGTATTGTGATTTTAGGTCAAGAACAACGTGCAGGGAAATGTTAGAAGGTACGCTGATAGTGTGTAGTGACTTTTTGCCAACTTCTGTGCGCGGGTGCTACTTGATATGTGAAAGAAAAAAAATCATCAGAAATTTTACTGGGTCAGTCGCTTATCCTAAATTGTCATTTTTGATTTTGGTTTTGATTTTTAGGCAGCATTATCGCCACTGTGCAAGCGGGGCAAGGTACGACCCAGACTGCCGGCTTCCAATTCGCTTACGACTACACTAATCGTCGTCTGGGTGCGATCACTTACAAAGACAACCACGGAGAAAAGATCAAATACCAGTATATATATGAGTACAGCAAGGTAAGGATTGTGAATATTTTAAGTAAACCTTTGGCCGAGCAAATTTGCGTTTAGACCGTAAAACAATTCAAATCTCGACTAGTGTCATCTGAGGGTCATGGGGCTGAATGATTGTAAGAGTACATTCGCAGGCAGCAAGTGTTGCCTGTGCTCACTGGCGGAGAATCTGGGATGGGGGACACCCATGGGGGGGGGGGGGGGGGGTGATAAGTCCTCCTCCCGGTAAATCTTTATGCAAGTAAAATAGATTTTAACCGAAGTTATCGATATCTTCACAATACTAATCCCACAATGTAAAATCACAATGTCAAATTGTTGCTCGTCTAAACCCCATTTATTTCACAATAAGGTGGCAGTTAGGTTTGTTTAATAAAGGTTCAGTGAACAATTAATACATTGTTAGGATATACTGACAGTGTCGGTATCCAAATTATATTGTCGACGTTGACAATTTAAGGGTTATTTTCTGGCCTGCAACTGAAAAAGCAAATAAAATTCATGGCATAATCTTTATTTTACTGAGATACTTGCTACATAAGATATTAATTTTGCTCGCCAGAACTATTCACATCTCCCTGATTAAATTATTTTGTTGTTGTTGCACCTGTAGGGAGTTGAATACGAAATAATTCTAGTCCAGCCTGGGGTTACATTTTGCAGCAAGGGTCCTCTGAACGAAACCCTTCCACAATGTGTCCCCGGTAAGCGGACCTGTCCTCCTCTGCAGTCATGCCCGACCCTGAAAGGACCTAGTAATGCAGCAACATCTGTGATTCATGATGTCATCACTCTTCTTTTGTTGATCCAAGATGGGCTGGCCAATGGTCATCTGAGACTGACTGTCTGATTGATTGACTGGCTGACTGACTGACTGACTCGCTCCCCGAGGGAGTAAGTAACGTGACATGAGTGAGTGACTGACCGAGCGAGCGAGCGAGCGACCAACCGACCGACAGACCGACCGACCGACCGACCGACCGACCGACCAACCGACCGATCCGACCGACTGACTGACTGACTGACAGACTCTCCCACTGATTGACTGACGGACGGACGGACTGATCAACTCACCCTCTCACTCAATCACCACCCACTCACTCACTCACCACCTCACCAACCTCGTCCCCAGTGCTTACTTTATTTCCAACCGTGTTTCCAATAGTAAACCCTGGATAGTAAACTTTCTTTCTGTTTCCTGATTCGATATCGCAATTGGCTAGTTATGGATTTTTATCGTGTACTTGGTGTTGTTATTCACAACGTGCAGTACGTGTTTTCACGATCATTCGTCCACGCCTTCTCAAAAACATTCCTTTCATTTTCCAATTTGTTCATATTAATATGAAATGTGATACTGCATGTTGTCTCGATAAGATCGTAACAGTTTAATTAAATAAATCGCGTTTTCGTAACTCACGCTGTGCTTGCTCTGCGACGAATTGACTCTGTTTTTACCCCAGACACCGCATACAAAAACGAACGATAATGTAACGCACATGCAGACACCAGACTATTCCTCATTTGCATACGTGTTCAAAAATCTTGCACATGCAAATGATCCAATACCAGGTTGAGAGAGCAGGTAGTAATGGGCGCGTACTGCTCTACACCCTGGGGTCGAGGTTGCCACCTCACCGCCTCACTCACTCACTCACTGTCACTTGTGAATTAGACCTGCATAAGTCTCACCTCGGCTCAAAAATTTCAAATAGGATTAACCCATAACGTGCCGTAACGCCAACGAATGGGTTGTTTGCTCATACATTTATGTCTAAAGCTTCTAAGTTCTAGTCACGTGCAATATACTTAAAATATCTTACATTTTGGATTCTAGCGTGCATTTCTAGGCTTGTTTTCTTTACTCAAGAAGTGTCTGTGCCCGGCAACTTCACAAAAATTGCCGACATAATCATGATTATTTCGTGTATAAATGTGGAATATTTAATTGCCATACATTCCTATAAAGTCAGTCCTCCGTTATTTTCATTAAGAGTTTCCCCAAATGTTTATTTCTTAGCTAGCGCCACCTATCTGGGTTCATCCTACTTCGGCGACCACAAGTTAAACGTAGACCTCTTCCAGTACTTCGAATCGATGAGTCCATCCAACTACGCTAACGTAACCGTGACTGTATCGCAGGGAGACTGTATTCCATTCTCTATTGTCACTGAGGGAATGCGGAACAGTGGTAGGTATAACTGATAAACGGATGCGTGGTTTCAATAGCAGAGGGCGCTATAGATTAGCACAGGGAAGGGAGATGGCCGGTGTCATAATTTTGACTCCAAATGAAAACTTGTCTATTTTAACTTATATCGATTACAACGTTCACACGTGACTTATCGCTGTTATAATTATGTTCACTCGGCATGCGCAATACCACCGATGAGTTGAAATTTCGCATTTCACCGGTTTCTGGTCTCTCAATTATCGTTTCAGACTGGGTAACACCCGATGTTCACGTTAGCACGGTCCCCAGTT